TTCCTATCAGATTTTTTTTCTTAATTTGTACAAATTACTGGCCTATATTTTGGTATTTAAAGACAATTAATATCATGGAAAACATCTAATTTTCTGAGAGTAGAAGCAGAGATACTATATCCAATCTGTACTTCAGAATCACTGTGGATCATATTCTGTCTTCTCTTGACACTTGAGGGCATTGTGTCTTCAAATATTTCAAATACATTACATTGGGCCTTGAAACCTATCACCTACCATGCTCTCTGGGAAACCTTGAAGTCTACTCACCATCTTTTAACAAGAGATCCAACTGCTACCAAACTGCCTTAAGTTTTATCAAATTTCTCCCGACTGTAGTCTTGGAGACAATTCTGTTGTAGAAACTGAAGGGTCCCAAAATGCATTGCAATCCCACTGGGATGTTTGTAGGCTGTTTCTATAATGTTGCTCCCCTTGACTTCAGATTAAACTGTTAACTTATCTGAAAGAGTCAAGCACTCAGACCTAGAAAAATACACAATTACTGGCCATTTGCTTGCCATCTCACTTCCTGATGTGATTTATCTCTGATAAAACCTGAAATAATGCAGTGACCTTGGTTTTATCCCACCATATCAACTCTGACTTTCTTGCTGCCCAGCTCTTGCTCCACTGGCTGCCTCCCAGCTGCTGAAAAGCAGGCTGGTATCATCCACTGATGATAGAAGTGATATAAGCAGTTCCTCTGAATACCATATCTTGTTTTGATGACAATACTACACCACACCATCTTCACCAGCCATTTAGGAATACCACACTTTAGTAGTTAATACTACTGTGTGATGTGGCCCAGCCCTCAGAAGTTTTGTATGCTGTGCATTAGATAACATTATTAAGTTTTCTGTTTGTTTAACAACATCCCTGCAGAGCTCTTACTCCAATCTGAAATATGGAAACATGAAAAGCAAACACTTGTTTAGCTGCCCAAAAGTCCAGCATGCACGTCTTCATAGCACTCTCCCACAGCTCCAGCAAATTTTGCAGTAAATCACAATGCTATCTCTTTAAACATTTTAATTTCATTTTCCAAATGTCAAAGTCATTAAAATGCCAACCCAACCAACCAGAGACCTCAGAGCATCCACTCCACTTTGTTCTTCCCTACAGTCCCTGCATTTGTGCACATTATGAAAAGCTGTTAAACTAGTGGCTCCAAAGCCTGTTGGTCCCCTCACAGAGGTTCGGCAAATTACATTTCACACTTTGTTTGAGAAAGAAACATGACAGAGATAATAGAAACATGAAAATCTCACCAGTTTTCCTTCCTCTTCTCTCTTGCCCACATAAAAAATTGTGCAACCAATGGGAAAGGTGTGCTCTGCCAATTACAAGCAGGCTATCTCTTCAGAACTCATGTCTGGAAATCGTGTTAAAATCTAGCTATTTCAACTAGAACTACTGCTCAACAGTTTGGTAAGTCCAAAATTACTAGGCAAGGGAGTTCAAGAGACAAGCGTATCACCTCCCTCTGTGCTGCTGAAGACCATTCACAGTCAATAACCAAGAAAGAGCCTCTTGTGAATGAAAAATTAAACAGAAATTACAACTGTTCAAACTAGCTGTAGGAGGCACAGTCACAAATGAGTAGCTGTAAACAGCATACACTAAACACTCTAATGTGTGAGAGATGACAAACAAAAGAAAAGCATTTTGACATTGGATTTAATTGTAGAGGCTGGCAAATCTGAGGGACTTTGAAGATCATCTAGTTTCAAGAATGCTGCCATGGGCAGGGAAACCTTGAACTAGATCAGGTTGCTCAGACTCCCATCCAAACTGGCCTTGAACAACTCCAGGGATGGGGATGAAGAATGGAATGTACTCTTGGAATAGTAATTTGAGATTTATGAAGATCACTGGTTTATGGAGGACTTGGGCCACCAGCAAGAAAGTTCTTGCTGCAGCTCAGTCTCTTGTGTCAAACCAGCAGTTACTGACCAGGTCTTCACCCTACAACTTTACACCAACTTTTAAATACTCTAAACATGGATCACTGGGTGACAGAAACGTCAGATGAAAACTAAGAGTCCAAGCAGAAAAATAACACGGTAACTCAACAGAGTAATTAATCTTTCATATATGTATGTATGTATATATATATATATATATATATATATATATATCCATACATCGATCACCAATACATTAACTTACCTAAAGAACAGGTAAAATGTGGATTCCTGCTCCTGAAGTGAGTTTTTCTGCATCCAGTTTGTGAGATTGTCAATGGAAATAATGACTCTTTTATGCTCCTTCAATGTTTGCTAAGTTGGCTTTGTCCCAGTATTCCTACCTACGTCACCCTATTCAGTTAGTTTAAAGAATGCTCAAGGTACATGTGGCACTAAGATTGTTCAGAGTATCAGGTGCACACTAGGCCTGAAATATGTGTGGCTGTAAAGTAAGTGGAAAAATACATAAATATAGAGGCAAAAGAACAAGCAAGAAGTTAGTGGTGAGCATAATAAAAACAGAGAAAGATATGTGAAATGGTACAGAGCAAAAGGCACTGCAATTGAACCAAAGTCAAAAGGAAAGACAAGAGTAAATATAGAAAAAGACTGAAACAGACAAAAAATTTTCTTCTTTTCTAATGAAAAATGAAAAGGCAACCTACAAAAATAAATGCTGTGTGTACAAGTGTTTGTGAATAAGAACCAAACACACATCCTTACCACTTTTCTTAACACCTGTAGCACCATAGTTTTAAAATTTACAGTTGTTTTTGACAAGTATTTAAATTACTCCCACCTTTCAAACCTGGAGGATTTGGCTTATGCAAATGAAAACATATGTGACCACAGGTCTGAACTTATCAGTATCTGGTTGTTTATGCCAAGATTTTTAACCCCATCTTATGTTTTAACTGTCTACCACCTGCAATGGGAGACTGTTTGTTTAGAGGTACCATGTCTTTTCTTGCCTGTGTTACCTTGTATTTTGAAAGCATTTCAAGATTTTTATGAAATGCACACGGGAAAAAAATTACCCAGCAGACACTGAAGCTAGGAGGCCTTGAGAAAATCTGTACCACTGAGGGATATGGCAAATTCATAAAACTTATTACAAGTTACTTCAGACGTCTGAGCCACTTTCTCACAGACCCATTAGGACGTTGGAGTTAATGGGTAAAACACATGGAGTGAAGTACAACAGCCAAAGGAAGAGGAAGACAAAAGAGGAAAACCTGCATCTTGACAGCACACACTACAGACTTCATCCAGAACAGGCTGTAAGCCTGCTGTGGAAACACAGAGAAGGAAGGAAAGGTGGAATATAAGTCACTATGCCTCTAACTTTCCTGAAAAAAAGAAATTATATGTATGTTTAAGTATCAACGACAATGTAGCTTAGAACAGCCATTAAACTTTACTACAATCAAGAAGCCCCTAAAGTGAAGTAGGTGTTCAATTTTAGGATAGAGTTTTAGGCTTAACTATATTAAAAGTAAAAAAGTTCCAAAGTAATTCTAAATTACATTTTAAAGCAAGGAACAGCAACATTTCCTCTAAACACACCTCGTGATTTGCCTCCCATCTGAAATCACCTCCATCCCAAATAAAACTCCATTTGATAAATGAGATGTCAGATTCAACACTTCACAACTAAGATGCTACTAAAAGTGTACTTTTCACTTTCTCTTGGATCATTTTGTGTCTTTGGAAGCACTGTATTCACAGTCTCCAATTCTGGAAGTACTGTACTAGCACAGATCTGGGCCCATACAAACTCCCACTGAAATCACCAAGAACTGTGACAGGTTCAACACCCTAAACTCAAATATCTTTTTGATAGGTCAGGGCTTTAGGCCTTACACTCAATTAACATAATGGAGGCAAAGCCCTCCTGAAAACACGGAATTCACCAGTGTGGATCATACTGTAGGACAGTATCCAGGCCAATGCCATTTGCACAAAAGTTTTATCTGCTATCTGTAAGCATAAAATTACTATTTTTACAGTAATGCAATGTAAAAATAAGCATGCCAGCCTCCTTCATGAGTTTTATGAATAAACTGATTTGTCTTTAATAATACTCCTTTAAATTATACTGACCTAAAGTTGGTTTGAGTTTGCTACCTTACCCTACGTGAAAACGTGTACCTGTAAATGCTGTGGATGTTTTAATGGGATGCAGTGGGCAATAAAGTTTCTATTCATGTAACTGCAAAATCCTCCACCTGTTGAGGCTTATGGGCACGCTGCTATTACATTCTTTTTTCCTGTAGTATAAATGTCACCCTGGGTCTCAAAACCCGTAAATACGTGATTCAAGTGAAGTAAGAACACAAGGCACACGGCACAGGGGCAGCGCGGTCAGCCAGGCGGTGCCGCAGCCGGGCTGGGCTGCGCCGCGCTGCTCGCCGGGCCCGAGGCCTCGGCCATCCCCGCAGCTCAGGGAATCCTCGTCGGCTTCAAACCAGCCGCAGCAGCGCCGGGAAGGCGCTCTCCGCAGCCCCAGGCCGGTTAACACACGGAGAGGCTCGCAGCCCCTCCGCGGTGCCCCGGGCGGGCGGGGCCAGCGCGGCCGAGGCCGCAGCCGTACCCGGCTGGCTCGGGCCCCCGCCCGCCGCGGCAGCCGCCGCTGCCCGCTCGGCCGCGGGCCCGGTGCCCTGCCGGCGCCGTGCCCGTGTCCCGGCGCGTCCTGGAGGCGCGGGGAGCGGCCGGGCCCGCCCGCCGCTCTCCCTCGCCGCCCCGGCCCGCGGCCCCCCGCCGCCTCACCTCGCTCAGCAGCCCCTGCCAGTCGCTCTCGCTGCGCTGCGAGCCCATGGCTCCGGCGGGCCGCGGCGCCGGTGAGCGGCTCCTCCCGGCCGGCCTTCGCCGAGCAACCCGCGGGAGAGGCGGGGACTGCGGCCGCCTCTGGCCTGCCCTCCGAGCGCCGGCGGGAGCGGGCTGCCGGCGGGCCGGGCCGCGGGGCAGAGCGCGGGGCCCGAGCGGCGCTGCCGAGGGCCGTGCGGGAGCGCCGGGGCTGCGTGTCCCGGGAAGGGTCCTCCTCTCCTGACGTGCGCCTCCCGCTCACAGCTCGGCGCTGCTGCCATCCCAGGCCCTGGACAGCGCGACTTCGGTGAGCGCTGGTCCTTGAGCGGCGTCAAGGCTTTAGTATTACACATATGTGTAACAAAATTAGGTACACGCTTGTGTTGGGTATGTATTGTTAACCACAGCGGGAGGACAAGGCAACCACTTTCTCAAAACATGATAGTGGAACACTGCCCACTTTGGGCACAGATCTCCGTTGTTGCTCAGTTCACGGAGGTGTAAATAACCTGACCCAGGACTTAATCTGGCTTCTTTATTTCCCGGCTAGCACAGACGCTCGTCCGTCAGCACTGAAACCCAAGCGCGGCACCCGCGCGGCGCCCCTCACCCTTCCTGATGTCTGCTCCAGGCATGCCCTCCGCAGCTCCCGTGGCTACGACATCCCCATGGACCAGGTGTGCGATCTTTATTGTACTCCTAACGCGACGAGTACTCCCAGGACTTACATTTTCCAGGCAGAGTCCCAGCTTAATTACATGGAATATTTGAACAGTTTAACTCACAAGTACTCCTTGTTTTAAATAACACCACAAACAGCACAAGACAACATGATAAAATATGCATTTTATTTATACCTTACCACAATTTACCCATTGTTAAGATTTGTTTGTGGTTTGGTGTCTAGGCACAATGTCCTTCTGTTCTCTAAAATGGCTTAGAGAGCCTCATTTGACAACTTCACATCCCTTGGCCTTACCACTGAGAACATTTCTGTTCCAGGTTCTTAATTAATGGCTTATATAGAAAGAAACATAGGCCATATCTAAACTCAACAGGAACTCTCTTTGAATGGAAGATTATAAATTTTAATAAATGCCTGTGGTTATCTCCATATTAAAAAAGAAGAAAAAAAAATCCAGGAGAGCAGCTAGTTTTGGTATGGAACTTTAGTTGGATAGTTACAAAGTTCATACATTTCACCTGCAAATTATTAACTTAGATATTTTCTCCAAATTATGAACCATATTCTCCTATATTAGCTGTTCCTCATCTCTAGGCATTCTGTAACTTTAATGCTGTAGAGGGTACATTTGTCTTTGCTATTTGTCCATATTTTTCTGTGGTTTACGTTGTCATGTGTGTGATATATTCCAATCCTGTATCTCCTTGCAGGCTTCTCAGCAAACTGTTTCTGAAAACAACACCTTATTTGCACAGGCAAGTAGCAAATAATGAAAATTAAATTAACAAGAACTATAATTTAAACCACTGCTTAAATGAATTGTTAATTATATTAGAAACTCAAACATTTTCTTGGTGTTGTGAATAGTTAGTTATACAACTGCTAGTGCAGATGAACCAAACAGAATCTTTTTCCCAGTTCTGGTTCTCATTTACATAATTTCTCTCCTTTCTTTTCTTGGTTGTGTAGCATGCTGGACTCAGAATACTCTTGCAGAAAAAGCACTGCTTTAAGAAACATAACCCTTCAAAAACCCTAATTTTTGAGGAATGTCACTCATTTTAATCCCAAATATGTTTGCACTACTCACAAACATAAGGTTTTAATTTTTATTGATGATAAGTATTCAAATGAGAAATAAATATTCAAAAAAGGTTATTAAAACAAAAGGAACTCTCAATGTTTTCAGCTCTTACGATTTTATCAAAGGGCTGATTAGAGCCAGTGTTTTTCAGAAAGCCCAAGCTCTTGTATAAGAATAACCACTTTCTTTTGAAATAAAAGTAAGATTCAAGGGAATAAATTAAAAATAAGCTGAAATGTGCCTTGAGTACATTTGATAGGATCAGAAAGAAAATAAAAGGACCCAAGTATGTATTTTTTAGTAGTCACTTTCAGTTTCTGGTATCAAAACTTTTGTCAGTTTCTTTCACTTTTCTGTTCCTCTCTGCCTTACTTACCCGTGGTTACTGCAAAACTGCAATGTAACAGTCCCAGTTGGAAGCAGGTTATTTTTCCAGCCTCTAGGCAGGAACAGATTGAGATATGGGTCCTGTCGTAACTCAGGAAACCAAGTTGAGAAGATGACAGAAAAGAAATACTACCACCCTAGTTTATAAATAGAAAACTGAAGAGAGTAGTGATTACCTTGCCCAAGAAAACTGAAGTTTCAAACAAAACCAGGAAGCAAAATTGCAGGTTTCAGGAGTACTAGTCTGCTGTTTTAATTGTAAAACTAACAGGCTGTCTTGGTTTTTTTCCTACCTGCTGCAGTAACTGCATATGCACTATGGCCTTGCTGATATTAGAATAAGTGAACACCTGAGACAAAAATCATCTCTCAACATTCCTCTTCAGCTACTATCCCATTGTCTTTGTCTCTAGATCTGTTATCTTCTCTGCTTTCTTCCTCTATACATTCACTAGATATACTTATCTGCTTCTAGTGTTTAATCTTCCTTCTCTGCAGTTCTGCTTTGTGATCAATCTTTCCCTTAGTATCTTGATTTCATCTGTCTTTTCACCAGATTACCCTCCACTTCTCTAAGCATTTTCTACATTTCATTAAGAAAGCTCTGAACTTTCTGAAAAACTTTTTTTTTGGCCTGGACAAATTACACATTCAGAATCAGATCTAAGCTACTGTGTCTCATTGATGCAAGTACTCAGGTAAACATATGTAAGAGATTTAAACAACAGTTTTAATTTGTAGGAGATTTAATCAACATTTCTAAAACACAGCTTTCAGAAATCAGCATATTTGTCATAATTAAGAAAGAAAATAGCCTGGATTTGTATCCATAGGTAAGCAAACCAAAGGGATTGCTTCAAATTTTGCTGCCTCTTTTTGTCAGCATTTGTCTGCTGCACTAATATCATCATTACATCTATGTCCAACTGTAAGGAAATATATGAGTAAAAACCCAGTGTAAATCCTTAAGATCTGGACAGGCTACATAATTGAAATGTAATGAAAACATGCAATGTTTGTCTCCTGAAGGATGATTCAATCTGACTCTCCATGGATGTTTCAGGGTTTCATTTAATCAGGGTTTAAATACCTCTGAATGAGAATAGAATCTATCAAAGATAAAACGTTCATTTTAGTACTCTTGGTAATTTATATTGGCATTATGCTATTTCATGTTCTTGCTAATCTGATGATAACCACATGCTCAAAAATTCATGCACACATTTTGGAGGAAGTATACTGTGTTGGGGTTATCATTACATTCAGGTTTTGTCAGTTCCCATATTTGTTTTCTTTCCTTTACTTTTACCTTTCCTTTTTTAGAGGCTGCTTTTTGTCCATTTATATTCCAGCTGCACCTTCTCAATTTTCTCAGGTTCATTGCTGGTTTCACTATCCTGTATCAGCTCTTCTACTTCACCATGCATGATATGTCAGCAGGACAATATGATCTGCAGATCAGAAGCAGTTTAGCAGTTATTAATTTGTGTTGAATCCTTTTGGGGCCAGTCAATTTCATGAAGGACACATCTTAGGCAAACAACAAAGATCACTAAAATGATGGTGTTTCTCTTTTCCTTTTCAGTGGTTTCAGACCTTCAATATAATTCTTTCCTTTGTGAATTAGATGCTTCCTGTAGCATTAAAATTTGAGGCAGTCTTTATTTTCTTATTATTTTTTGCTTTTTTAAAGCTATTTTATGACAGCTGGAGCAACTGAATACTGGAATGCAGAGTAGAGTATCTCTCTCTTCTAGAGAGAGAATGGAAAAAAGAGAATTTTGGGGAAGAGACTGGAACAGACTATGATCTGCACAAACCAACTCTAGGATGAAACTTGGTGTTGAGGTCTGGCCAAAGAAGGGGGGAATACAAGGCAAAGCAAGCAGTTAAGATCAGAGAGTGCAGGTAGTGGGCAGGATGCTATGGAAAGAATTGAGGGGAAAGTTGTAAGATGGTGGGGCAGAGGAGAGACTGCAAGTTTGGAAACAAAATTATTTTGGAAATGAACAAACACAAGAGAACTGTCCTAACTTTAGCTTTTCTGAATGACTGAAAATCCAAAGTCAAGAGCATTCTGTTGTATAGATTTTCTAGTAATATTTTAGGCATATGTTCATATGCAAGTACTTTGAATAATTTTATTTTAAAGCCTGATTTCTCCAAAGCCTGGTGATGTTCCAGCATCTAACTCTTAGGCACACTTCTGTCTAGAGAAACCTCTGGGGTCCAAATACCAGTCTTCATTGGAAAACGTCTGATTGAGTTAGCTTGCCTAGGGTGGAAATGCTCAAAAAAAGAGAATGGGTTGGATGGTGGGCACAGGTGTTAAAGCAGGTAATCAGCCCCTAAAAATTGCTAGCAAACACTCATTACATGGAATTGTTAAGTTCAAACACTCTTTTGTGGACATACTTAGCCTGACACCAAGTATGGTCTTCAGTGGCGTCCCCTAGGAGCACCAGACTGTGGATGAGGCTCTGCAGGATGCTGGTGGCATCAAACCCAACTTGGACAAGAAGGCTCTAAGTTCTCTAAAAGCATCTATAAAATTAATAGGCTTGATCTAGACTGTATTGGAAAAGTTTGGCACTGTTGTCTGTCCTAGTAATAGCAAATAACCATGTAGGATTTAATTTATGTTTACCATCAGAATTTGTGGCCCTTCCCACACCATAATAAAGAAAACTCAGTAGGAACTACAAGATAAAGAAAACAAGTACAACATCTCAGAGCCTGTTTTAAGGCTTGTCATTACAGTTGAGTAGAGTTAGTGTAAATTAATTCTGTTTTCCCAGAGGCATCAAATTTCTCCTGTCAAGACAGTCTCTCAAGAGAGACTTGAAAGTCTCTCACTGCCCTCCTGCATTATTATTATTTTCCTTTAAATTTTCTTGCTATTGATGTAACTAAAAATTGAGTATAAGATCAGAGAAAATATTTTGTCAAGTGACTCAGACAGGCACAACTGATGGATACTAAGCAAACATGTACTACATTTTATTTTCCTCTGAATGCACTACGCAAATATAAAAAATAGTTCATTTTACTAAAAATCCAGGTGGTAAATTCATGCTACTTTCTGCTACTATGAAATTGAAGAGTGACCCAGTACTGCCATCAAATCTGGCATACGAGTGATTTTTCAGACTTGTAGGTTCAGTTTTCAACTGGTGGGGTATGTCAAATCCCTGAAAATTGTCAGACCATTGTAGTGATGTTTATTGCTGTGACTATACCAGACTCTTCAACACGAAGATTGTCACTTTACATATGTGGTCAATACTCACTAGACTGTAAGCAAAGAACAAGATTGAACACATAAAGTACAGCCAGCTTGATCCTATTCTTTCTAGTCAATTTAGAGAGAATAAAGAAAGAAAGCCCACTGGCAAAGAGCAAAAAATGGGATTGAAACAAAACTTACTGAGAATATAATAGCAAAATAACTTTTCATTTGAAAATGTCTGTCTGGAAAAAAACCAAAATTTCTCAGCTTTGGTGTGAACTTTCTCTGGATTCTTGAGGAAATTTCCCATCAAATCCTGACTATATGCTTTAGAATGGCAATGGCACTGAGCTAAGTTGCCTGGTTTATGTTCAAATTACACAGACTTTTGTGACTTCAGCCTCAGCCTTTTTAAAGTGAA